AGTACAGGAATTGGAACTGCTACACTGAGGATACCAAACATTAGAAGAGATCAGAATGGGACGTATGAGTGCCAGGCCACGAACAACCCTAATGAGAGACSGGTCACTATACAAACTGTGGTTGCTGTATATTGTAAGTGAGAGACTGAATTGAGTTTATGATGATGTTATTTTTTGCTTTGTAGTTTATACTTCAGTTGCAAAAGGTGTTGTTACAGAAAATGATATAAATGATACAGAGACTTAGTATTTTAATCTTTCTCCTGAATTTATATTTAGTTCTTTAATTATGAAATGAGCCAACGCCAAAATGTTGTCTATTTTTGTTTATACATTTTAGTTTTTACTAATGTATGATTTCAAGGAATTAATGTCTCTGAAGTCAGTTTTTATGATAATTACAATCATAAAATATTTGAGATATAACTAAAGTGCCGATAGCTGGCTACAGTGTTTATATCAGTGGACAGACACATGCACGCACAAAATTGTGCAAAAATATTTTATAAAAGCAATGTCAAATGGCTGCTTATGTCTCTGCATTGTGATATAACAACTCTGGAAGCTGTAGAGCACTGGAGAAGCAAGCAAACGCACTCGGCTACGCCTTATAGTATTCCTAAGCTTGCTTCTCTTTAGCTTTACAGCTACCAGTGTGCTTATATTACAGTACAAAAACATGTACATACTTTTTGTATTCCTTAAATGAATTTATATTTCCTTTGAAATTAAAATAAAATAAAATAAACACATTTTATCACATTTGCATGTGAGCACATATGCATATGGAATACGTGCGCTATAAACTGTGCTTCCTGTGCATTTTTTAAACAATCTTAATTGTAATGCACTACAATCAAAAAATGCTGCTTGATCATTTTCCCTTTTGCATTTCATTCATGTATTTTTTCTGCCACCTGGTTGTCTCAGTTAGTTGAGCATCAGACTTTCATGTAGGACGTCTTGTTTTGAGTCCCAGAATAACCTCGTTCCCAAGCACTACAACTTACCTATATTATCTTCAACCATTTCATTAGTGCCACGCGGTCCACATACTCTTTTCTTTGCATCATAATTACCGCGACCTAACATCTATTTCACCCCGGCCTGCTCTCAGTCTGACCTCTAGCTCAGCTGGTAGAGCATCGTAGTACAATTCCGAAGGTCATGGGTTCGAATCCCAGAGAGGTCGGTAATTAATTTTTCCGAATTTTATTTCCAAGGGCTTTCGCCCGGAATAACCTTTTTCCCAAGCACTACAACTTACCTATATTATGTTCAACTATTTCATTAGTGCCATGCGGTCCACATACTCTCATCTTTGCATCATAATTACCGCGACCTAACATCTATTTCACCCCGGCCTGCTCTCAGTCTGACCTCTAGCTCAGCTGGTAGGGAATTAATAACCTCGTTCCCAAGCACTACAACTTACCTATATTATCTTCGAAGATATAGAAATATAGATAAGTTATTTTAGTGCTTGGGAACGAGGTTATTCCGGGCGAAAGCCCGGATTTTACAATGTATTATAAAGAAACCCTAACTATCAGTAACTGCCCTCCGTGTCAGGCCTTAACTTGTAATTTTTCAATGGATTGATTGTGGGATGGGTATGGGGAACTCAAAGGTTTGGAACTAATTGATGCAATGTACCTTTTAAGTGGATCAGGTGTTATATTGGGCAGCGTCAGGCTGTGGGTAAAATCTCAAAATAAATATTAAACATCATGGAATTTTTTAACTAAAACTCCATGAAGGCCAATAGTGGCTGTAAATCATTTTGTTTTGAGGGCACACCTTCTATCTTAAAAAACGATTGATATGTTTTTGTTTTTTCTTATATTTCAATATATAGATCCTCCCAAAAGCACTGTTACTCCTCCAAGTATAAACGTTGTACAAGGTGATGAGATCTCAATCAGCTGTACAGCAGATGGTTATCCACCACCATCYATATCATGGACAAAAGCTGATGGTGTTATCAAAGCTGGTCACACAATAGCTGGGGGAACACTTAGAATACCTGATGCTATCAAAACAGATGCTGGCAAGTACATATGTACAGCAAAGAACACCTATGAAAGCACAGAACATGTTAATACAACAACTGCGACTGTTTTAGTCAAATGTAAGTAACGTACGTAAGTTTTCCTCAAATGAATATTTGTAAATCATGATGATTTTGTTGTATCTTCCAATCTCATACCCATTCATAGCCAACATTTCTCTTCGTCAGCACAAAGAAACCTTGAATGTGAGACCGAAAAATCGAAACCACAGCTTAGGGCGCAGGTTTTCTAACAAGGTCATCATGACTGAGTGTCAAAAAAGTGTGATATATATGTGTTTCATGATGCATTGCATTATGAATTTAAAATCATCAGACAGCAATTAAGACAGTGAGATAGTATGAAGTACTGGATCACCATTTGCATGACATCTAGGTAAGAAAGATGTATGAGACATATGATATGGTTCTTTAGTACAATATTAAGAGAAAATTCTGCAGAACTCAAACCACTAATACTCTGCATTCTTTGCCTTAAGAAATTTCTTTTCTTACCTTCTATTTAATTTGAATTATCCATATTTAATTAGTTATACAGTTAATTCCATTATTTGAATGGCATGTAGATTAAATTGCGAGTGCCAATATGAATGCCGTGTGAATTTAAGGGTTCCCAAACCGAAAACAAACTTCCTAAAAAGAGCTTTGCCTATAGCAGTGTCGTATCTTGGAACTATTTGCCTTTGGAGCTTAAGGAATGTTCAAGTCTATCTAAATTTTTAAAAAAATCTTGCTAATAATTAATTTYATTTTTATTGTAAATAATTGTAACTACTCAGATAAATTCTGTTYACGGTTCTCTGGAAAAGCATCATTTAATGAAGACATTCCGTAATAAATTACCTACCTACCACTAAAAATATTTGAGCTAAAGACTGTGCCAGGCCCAAAACGATTGATCAGATGATTGTTCAAACTGATACATACACATTTCAGCASCAGCAAGCTGCAAGATATTTCCTACTACTTACAGTTGTAAAAGTTTTTTTGAAGGAGACAAGTCCAACATGTTCTAAAACGTTGCTAAAATTTTCCATCTGTAAAAAAATGTTTCCATTGTTTCCATTGTATTTTTCATTATCAACAAGTCACAAAGCACCAAAATTTGGTAGCAGCAATAAACCTCTCACTTTCTCAGTGTTGATCAAGATAAATGTCGAAGGAAGATTTT